ACACACACACACACACACACACACACACACACACACACACACACACAGAAAGGCAGAAGTCACCAGTCAGGGAACAATATCCTGCTCAAAAGACCTTTCACGGCACGCTCTCATAAATCACTGAGACAGAGCCACCACCCTCACTGTCAGTGTTATTATGCACACACTCTCAGGTTCATCACCACAGAAATTCATTTGATTCCTCCAGTGCTGCTCTGCCGTGAGCGGATGTTGTCAAATAGAAGAAATATGAGTTGAATCTAAACACAGAGCTCACCTGCAGACACACACACCTGCAGTGATTCTCTCTGGCTCTGCTTGAAACACACGTCTCTACAACAGGAGCTCTGTGGCGCTCTCCGCCCCGGCCCTCTGCACCGACCATTCCTCAGTGACAGGGTGCCGGGACGAGGGGATGAGAGGCTCTGAAGGGGCGAGGTGAGGAGTGGATGAAAGCAACCCGCTGCTCAAATCCCGGGAGCTTCTGCGTCCAGCGCAGGTGGCAGGTGTGATGTGGCCGGGCGCAGAAGCGTGAGGGTGAGGAAGAGGAGGAACAATGAAGGCGTCTGTGGCCCTCGGCGCAGCTGCAGGAGGTGGGGAGGAGTGGGGCTCTGACTGACGAGACGCTCTGACAGGCAGAGGAAAGGCAAGGGCGGCTCGGCGAGAGCAGAGATGAAGATGCCACTTCAAACAGAGGATTGGGTTCTGGGTGCAGAGAGATGCATTCTTGTCTGGCAGAGAAGAGGAGGGGAGGGGTCAACAGGAAGGTGGAATAACACAAAAAACACCATCACCAAAGTCCAACATCACATTCCCCCTCTGCGGATGTTTGCATCCTGTCTCCTATCTGTGTGCATACTGATGTCAGCCACCCTCTCTGTATGGATTTGTATTGACGAGACAGTAATCCTCTTCCCTTGTGTGCAACTGTCCGCAGCTCCCTAAGACCCACTGATCTCTGCCACATGGCACTCCATCAAAGCACCGATGGTCATGCCTCTCAAAGCAAGTTTTGCCAAAACGTGCACCATGTAGCTCATGTATGCCCCTCATTGCAGAGGATAAGCTGCATGTGAAGGTCTAAGGCCACTCCAGACTTTGTATCAGTCTTGGAAGGACAAGAGAAATAAAGCTGCCTTTTGTTTTAAAAATCACTCTCCTCCGATTGTGCACACACACACACACACACACACACACATTCACACGCCGGTTTCCTACTTTCTCTATCGGACCTGATTAGAGTGACAGGGGCACTTCCCATTGGCTGTGAGAGTGGCCCTCTCCTTCCCAGGGCAGCCAATTTCCCCTACTCCAGAGCTGATAGGAAACTTTGATTGTCCACTCAGCTCAGGAGAGACAAAGAGATTTTTCCTCTTGCAATCCACATATCGCTCCATCACATCTCTGCCTACAATGTCTCTCCTCACTTGCTCTTTCCTCTTTTTTCTCTCCACCAGCTCACCCTCTTGGATTTTCTTGCCTGGTCATTTCCACGAGCCCACTTTCTGTTGTGGGCTGCAGAATGTGAGTCCATTAAACAGGCACTGACTGCTTTGATGGGCAGGAAGTTTCACTTTATGTAGTGACATCTGCATCCTGTGACACAATCCTACCATGCACACTTGATTTACTGTCTTGGCTTACCACCGTTCTAATAACTTTCCTAGTAATATGCATCTGCCTCCTGGTACATGCAGTAGAGCATGTTTTTTTTTGTTGTTTT